CTCCATGCTCTTTACAATTTTTATAAATCCTTCTCATTGTTCTTCAAGCAATTTTTTGAACTCTTCTGCTGAAACACTTGCAACTTGCAGAGTGCCTATCTTACTGCAGGCCTCTATCATTTCTTCAGTTGTTGGGTATCCAGGCAAAGCACTGATGGTATGTCTGCACTCTGCATTAGCATTTGCAAAAGCAAGGCCTTGAAGGAAGTGTGGCTTCCCTCTTTCTTCCATCACTTGTCGGTCACTCGCTTGTGTGAGACGATCCACAAACATAGTGAAAGGCTCTGAAGGGCCTAGCTACACTTCAGTGTAGATACCTTCTGAGGTTCCAGTGGGTTGAATTTGCAGCAGTCTCTTTTCAGCTGCTTCTACAACATCTTGAAGCATTTCTGGAGGCAGGTCTGTTATCTGGGTTTCTGACTTATGATAATGGGATATCTCCTGCGATCTGAGCCACTGAGATGCCTTTGTATGGTCCCCTTCCATATTTAGTTCTCAATTCAAGGAGAGCTTTTCTCCATCTTGAATGCCACAATGTAAATTGTGAATCTGCAAAGATTGTTGAATCTTCCTGTCATGCAGAGAAGACAAGTTGATCATGAGTTGAATTGCAGTTCCCCATTGTGAGAACCGTCTATCTTGATGGCCGGCGAATGCAAGTACGCAGACGCAGTGGCTTAACCCAGGACTTTAAGCTCTAGCTTTGCCAAGATAAGCCGTTCCAAGCCCGCTCACTGGCAGGGCTCTACTATCCCGTTGGTCTAAAAACAAGCTCCCTCCAGGAGAGCGTGGGAGATTCTTACTTACCTCTCTGTGGAGGGAAGTGGCTGGCTCGTTGTCCGCCAGCTGCACTGAACCTCTGGGGTCACCAGATGCACATCACGTCGGAGGTCACCAGATGTTGCTCTATTGGGAACGGCAAGACGAACAACACAGACTCTCTCGTGGAGTCAGAACTGGAGAAGTTTCGGTTTATTACCTCAGGTCTTTTTTATAGACCGACACGTGAAAAGTACAGAAAAGAAAACTCTTATTGGTTAGTAAACTAACACATCACCATCATTGGTCAGTGGGGTTCACCACACCTCGACTTTCTCTTGCAAGAAAACAAGGAACAGACAAACAGCACCTGCAAGGCTGTTTTCTATCTCTGAGGATTATTTTAATTCCTCCTTATGAATTCCCAGGCCACTTTCCCAGACAAGGCTGAGAAAGCTGTGTGGCCTGCAATTTCCACAGGCACCGTGCTCTCTGCTTCACAGTTAGCATCCATAATTCCCCCTTTTTGCTTTAAAATAAAAAAGCAGTGTTTTTAATCTCTTGCTGGGCTCTTGAAGGAAAGAGAACAAACACAGCACAAGAGGTCTCCTTCAACAGAACCTTGAATGGACACTGATTTAGAATGATTTTCTCTAAGGATTGTTTTCTTTGCAAGAACTTGATGGTTGACTCTAATAAACTAACACAGACAGCACATAAAACATCGTTAGTCTGCTCAAAACTGACAGTCTAACTTGTCAAGTTAAGTTTAAAAGAATACCAAAGTGACAAAACTCAAGAACACCCAGATCCAGCCCAAGTGAAACTCTCCTCAATTCTACCATGTAACATCTATGAACTTTTTACAGATCAGTTAACAATGCAATTCAGAATGCTTTGATCCCCCTTTTTTGTTGTTGTTGTTGTTGTTGACATTGGTGTTGTTGTTGACCATTGGATTTTCCCCTGAAATGTGATTGAGGGACTTGTAGAGATCACATGGCTGTGGTCAAAATCTTTCCGACTCTCTGCAATCAGTGAAGTAACCAGGGAAGCTATCTGCAGTGTAGAGATGATTGCTTCATCCGGTTCAGGCTTGTTGTTGTTCGTCGGGTTCTGCAGCTGTGTTCCTGAGCAGTTTGAAGTCTGCATGGTTTGAGCAAAGCTGACTCCGTTGTAAAGCTACAGTTGCTGCTCGCTGAAACTTTTGCTCAGTTGTTGTTGTTTACAGCGATGATTGCCATGACAACAGCATTGCAGTCGCTGGCCCGGGCAGCAGCCTCGCTTGTGGCTCTGTCTGCCCCCCCACGCCGGGCTGGGCACAGAGGGAAGAGTCCACGCCTGCCTCCACCATGGTGGGCGGTCCCACTGCCATCAGGGGGCTGTGCAGAGGCGGTGCAGAGGCCGGAGGGAACGCCCCCGATGAGGGCTGCAGCGAAGGTTGTCCCGGCAACACTGGCACATGTGAGGGCCCTGTGGATGGTCGCGGTGGGGCCACTCTCTTCGCCGCGTCAGCAGGGCTGAAGAACACCATAGACAGCGATGGGCCCGCCGCGGCCGCTCACGGCGGTGCTTGCAGCACTGTGAAGGCACCGCAGAGGGTGCAGGTGGGGATGGGCAGTCTCCATTCCCCGCCACCTCTCTGTTGATGAAACTTGCGAGCCCAGCTCCGTGGGTGACGGGCACCTGAACTCTCCTGGAGAGGGAGATTTCTTGGTCCCATCACCCAGTCTCTCATGATGTACAAAAGAGGCACCCCCAGCACCCGAATCCTCCATCCCGGCATCACTGTCCCCAGACTGGCACAGCTCCAATGCTTTAAAGAGCATGCCCCAGGTGTCTGCCAGGCTGCACACGCTGGTATTTCCAGCAGCTAACTCAGACCACAGGCAGTCTCCCACCGACAACCAAATATTGAGATCAAAGGCATTATCGACAGTCACAGTAAAACCTTGCGCTTTCACCCACTGGAACAAAGAGCGCATAGCATCTTCGGAAATATTGAGTCCCATGCGCAGCAAAGCGTCCTGCCACACAGAGAAAACAAGCTGATCATCAGTTGAATTGCGGTTCCCCATTGTGAGAACCGTCTATCTTGATGGCCGGCGAATGCAAGTACGCAGACGCAGTGGCTTAACCCAGGACTTTAAGCTCTAGCTTTGCCAAGATAAGCCGTTCCAAGCCCGCTCACTGGCAGGGCTCTACTATCCCATTAGTCTGAAAACCAGCTCCCTCCAGGAGAGCGCAGGAGATTCCACTTACCGCTCTGTGGGGGAAGTGGCTGGCTCATCGTCCACCGGTTGCACTGAACCTCAGGGGTCACCAGACGCACATCACGTCGGAGGTCACCAGATGTTGCTCTATTGGGAACGGCAAGACGAACAACACAGACTCTCTCGTGGAGTCAGAACTGGAGAATTTTCTCCTCAGTTTATTACCTCAGGTCTTTTTTATAGACCGACACGTGAAAAGTACAGAAAAGAAAACTCTTATTGGTTAGTAAACTAACACATCGCCATCATTGGTCAGTGGGGTTCACCACCCTTCGACTATCTCTTGCAAGAAAACAAGGAACAGACAAACAGCACCTGCAAGGCTGTTTTCTATCTCTGAGGATTATTTTAATTCCTCCTTATGAATTCCCAGGCCACTTTCCCAGGCAAGACTGAGAAAGCTATGTGGCCTGCAATTTCCACAGGCACCATGCTCTCTGCTTCACAGTTAGCATCCATAATTCCCCCTTTTTGTTTTAAAATAAAGGCAGTGTTTGTAATCTCCTGCTGGGCCCTTGCAGGAAAGAGAACAAACACAGCACAAGAGGTCTCCTTCAACAGAACCTTGAATAGACACTGATTTAGAATGATTTTCTGGCCTATATTTTTGGTGTCTAAGGATTGTTTTCTTTGCAAGGATTTGATGGTTGACTCTAATACAACTAGTTCAGTAAACTAACACACACAGCACATAAAACATCGTTAGTCTGTTCAAAACTGACAGTCTAACTTGTCGACAGGGAAGTTTAAAAGAATACCAAAGTGCCAAAACTCAAGCTAAGAACACCTAGATTCAAACCCAGTGAAAATCTACTCAATTCTACCATGCAAAATCTATAAACTTTTTACAGATCAGTCAACAATGCAATTCACAACGCTTTAATCCCCCCTTTTTTTCTTTTTTTTTTTCTTTTTTTTTTTGTTGTTGACCATTGGATTTTCCCCTCAAATATGACTGAGGGACTTGTAGAGTTCACATGGCTGTGGTCAAAAGTTTCTTGACTCCCTGAAATCAGTGAAGTAACGAGGGAAGCTATCTGCAGTGTAGAGATGGTTGCTTCATCCGGATCAGGCTGCTGTTCTTGTTCGTCGGGTTCTGCAGCTGTGTTGCTGAGCGGTTTGAAGCTTGCAGGGTTTGAGTAAAGCTGACTCCATTGTAAAATTGTCATTGCTGTTACTTGTTGAACCTCTTGCTCAGCTGCTGTTTCTTTTTCTAGCTGTGGTTGCCATGGCAACAACATTGCAGTAGCTGGCACGGGCAGCAGCTTCGCTTGCGGACCTGTCTGCCCCCCTGCGCTGGGTTGGGCGCCAAGGGAAGGAACCACACCTGGCTCCGCTGTGGTGAGCGGTGCCGCTGCCATCAGGGGGCTGTGCAGAGGTGGTGCGGAGGCCGGAGGGAACACCCCTGATGAGGGCTGCAGCGATGGTTGCCCCAGCAACACTGGCACATGCGCGGATCCCGCAGATAGATGTGGCGGGGCCAAAAGCCTGTCTCTCCCCGCTGCACCAGCAGGTCCCATGGATGAACGCGGAGGGGCTGCTCTCCCCGCCATGCTGGCAGTCTGCAGCGGGAGCGTCCATGCTGTCCCTTGCAGCACAGGAGAAAAGGACACAGAGAAAATGGGGAGGCCAAAGAACACCATCGACAGCGAGGGGCCCCCCGCGGCCACTCACGGCGGTGCTCGCAGCGCCGCTGAAGGCACCGCGGAGGGTGCAGGCGGGGACGGATGGTCTCCATTCCCCTGCCGCCTCTATGTTGATGAAACTTGCTAGCCCAGCTCCGCCGGTGACAGGTCCTTGGTCTCATCACCATCATTGGTCAGTGGGGTTCACCACCCCTTGACCTTCTCTTGCAAAAAAACAAGGAACAGACAAACAGCACCTGCAAGGCTGTTCTCTATCTCTGAGGATTGTTTTAATTCCTCCTTATGAATTCCCAGGCCACTTTCCCAGGCAAGACTGAGAAAGTTATGTGGCCTGCAATTTCACAGGCACAATGCTGCCTGCTTCACAGTTAGCATCCATACTCTTGGGGGCATTCCCGATCTCTGCCTCGGTGGGTTGGGCCCTCCACGTCATGGACCGCGTCACAGGTCTCCCTGCGGGGCGTGCCTTCGCAGCTTTGCCCAGCCCCTTAGCTTTCGCTGCCCATTTGCAGCTGCGCTTTGGTATTGCTCCTAATTTCTCCCCCTTTTGCTCGAGGTCACTCTGCATTTCAGCCATTTCACTGTATCCCACTGCTCCTTGTGGCACCTCCTCTTTGGCAGTCCCTGGTCCTGCTCCTTGGAGAGCTTCTGGGTTTACCTGATGGGTGGACACCTATGGGTCCACCTGCTGGGCAGACACGTCTTCACCAACCTTTTCTGACATCACCTCTAGGTGGTCAGTTTTGTCAGAGGGTGGGGTAGGCTCTCTCCCTCTCTCTGGCTCCTCTGACATACATGAGGATAGCAGGGGAGGGGGTTGTTCTGAGGGTGTGGTTTCAGAAATGGCACGGGCTTTTTCTAGCTTCTTCTCTACCCCCGCTGCGATTTGCTCAGAATGTAAAAATTCCAAAAAGACTCTATGCAATTTATCATGTCTACCCATGTGACTTTTCATCCTTCGATACTGTAACAAACTGCTCACTCTGCTTTCTGAAGTAATTGCAAAAGTCTCCCAGTGTTCAGCTTTCCCCCGCACTCCTCCCTCCTCCCCCCGTTTCCTCTGAAAGGATGGGGGCAGGGAGAACTGCGTTGCTGGGGGATATTGGGGCTTTTTGACATTCCAGAAAGGGCAGTTCAAGTCTGGGTGGTTCGGTTTCCTCTCCTCCTGTCCCACCCCCCTGGGAAGGCAATCTTGGAAAATTATACTGATACATAATATTAAAAAGATTATCACTATATCTTATTTCTATGCACCCATTTTCCTGGGATATATAACTCTTTTAATCTCATTTTTGTGATTGCCCCTATACATGGTTCAAACAATTGCTCCTCACTTATGATGGGATAATTCTCCTTTATCCAGAGCAGTAGCAATTCCAAATCTTTCCTTGGAATTTTATAGGAGTATTGCCCTGTAATAATTTCTGATTTTTCTAAAATTGCCTGTTCTTCCTTAGAGATATTTGATCACATCTTGTAAGGATGGAACGAGCTTACCAGTTCTTTTGGCTATCTTTGAGGATTACCAACCAGCAGAACCCAAATTCTTGTGAGTCCTGGGCCCTTGGATCTCTGAAGGCGATAGCAGAAGGAATGTCCAGGACTGGGCACTCTGGTCCAAATGTTAGAGTTCAGGAACACCTAATCACAGAATTATTTTATGAAGGTGCTTTATTAAAGAGCTCTGGGCATCAGGGGTACACATACTCAAATGTGACCCAACTTGGTTCTGAGCTGAATGAAGTAGCCCCGCTTTGTCCCTCCCAATTAATCCTGGCTAGCTATGTCGAGGGGAGGGCAGGGAGGCTCTTCACGACCAAGATAAAGACCAAAGGGCTGCTTTTCCCTCCGGGATAATGTCGGATGTTTATTCAGGCTGGGATCCAGGAGGAAAGAGAGGGAGGAAACATTTCCCAGGTACTTTCAAACCTCGGGAGAGGGGCAAGGAGACATATAACACCAACCAATGGGATAACATTTCAGGGACGGGGGGGGAAGGGAAAAACACGTCACAGCTGCAGGGAGGGTTTACACAGAAACTAAGGAATGCCCAGGAATGTGCACTAGCATATCTCCCCCTTTTTTGTTATATATAATTAATGAAAGGTAACGAGCTTATATGACTTACTGACCTGAAGTGGCCCACCAATTCCCATTTGCAGGCCGGTGAGGGTTACTCCGGTCTGCCAACTTTATATGGTTGATGTCTGAGGTAGTTGAGATCAGCTTAATTATGCTTTTGTACAGTATCCTGCTTAAAACTCCGAACACTAACACCGTTAGCAAAATAATGACTAGCAGCAACAGAATAGTTTTCACTACTGAAGCCCACCACCCCACGAGTCCCCAGTTTTTAAACAGTCTATCGAACCAGTCATCTGCTACTTGCTTGACTTGTCTGATCATGCTTTTCAACTCTTGGAGCGTAGCATAGATGTTAGGAGCTTTTGATATCAGATTCATGCAGCAGAGACCCTCGAGCTCCTGGCACTCGTGCCCGTGGAGCAATAGGAGAAAGTCTATCACTGCACTATTTTGGAGTGTTGCCTGCCTGGTAATCTCCTCATCTTCTAGAAGGGCACTTATGGCATTAGATGTTAAATTTGCTTGTTTTACCACCCAGCATTCTAGGTGTCCCAATTCACCTAGGGCCTTGGCTGCAGCCACCCAAGGAAGGAAAATGGATGCAGCAATTCTT